CATTCCAACCCTTTTTATCATCCAAATAAGTAACAATGAAAGAGTTTGACTGATCTAAAAGCCTCAACTTACTCAGTGTGACCTTGATACATTTTTGAGTCTGTTTATGGCTTATGGGAGAATTTAACTAAGCACTAAACTTGAGAAAACCCACAACTGATTCAGGTAAACTTTAACCTTTGTACTCATGATCCTTTGAGTAGGAGGATGTGGAAAACAAAACTGTCTGAATGAAAAGGGAATGGAAACTTTCCAGATTGCAAATATACTGACCTTCAGTAAGGAAGCAGCGAGATGTACGCTCTGGGTTTTGCTTTTTTAATCCCTTGAACATTTGAGGTTATTGCAATGAGTCACAGGTGCCCTTCATGTCTAGATATGATATTTGAGTCTTACGAGTTTTTTACACTTTTTTTTTTGCTATATGCCCAAATGCAAATTAAAAGGTCTAATTTTTTTAAAATAACTAATAGTTACTGATAGTCTAGAAGCAGGTGCCCTGTTGCTGTGTTTAGCCGAAACAAAGTGGGCAGTTTGCATCCACTGATTTATCAAAACACAGTTTGCTGATCTCATGTTTACAGCATGTCAGAATTACTCTGCTCTTGAGACTTCGATTAATTTGTAAATTAAATGGGTAGTGCAACTTTACCTGCAGTTAATATTTTCTGCATCAAGTTGGGTTTTCCTAAGTTTTCCTTAATATCTATTTTTTTCCTATTTCTCTCATCATTATCCTTCTCTTAAGACCTGAAGGAGTTGATGAACTACATCTTCCAAAGAAAATTTGTTCAGTAGTTTTTCGTGGAGTGCTAACTGCCATCTTAGATCAGCTTAACAACTAAAAACCACCCTTTTACTGCTGGAAAGGGGCTTGATGCTCAAGATGAAGCTAATGCTCCAATGTTCAAAATAAGCAGATCATGTTCCACAGAGTCATTTGATACCTTTGGTAAGCTGAAAACTGTGGGCACTAGCCAGCAATAACTGTTTCTGTTTCTTAATACAGGTTTTATAGGTGGGTTTAGATTAGTGGGAGAGTGGGTATAGAAGTCTCCTTCCATCTCTCAGTTCACTAGCTGAGTTGTGTGGCTTCCTGATGAAGCCTTGTGAGGCCTTGGAGAAATGCCTTGTTTCTCACTCATAAAAGGAGTTTGGAATTAAGATAGTTTCTGTAATTTCTATATATAAACAGTGAGGTAGGCTACAGAAACACTTGAAGTAATACATTTAATGTTTTAGAGAGTTTGTTTTCCTGCCTACCTGAACGCTTGGCCAGGATTAAAGACCAGAGCAGTATCATTGAAACTGCAGATTATGTTTTTATCTTATCCTTGGTAGCACTGACATGATGAATTGGCTACTCTTGAGCTGGTTGTATCTCCAGAAAACACAAGATAAAACTCATAGTTAATATTTGTGCATGTCAGCTTGTTAAGGTTGTCCTTAAGTTGTGTAACTGAAATCCTACTGAGATATTCCAACAGTCACTTATGGTGGTGAGAAACTAGGTAACAGTATTTTTTTTTTTCTGTAATTTATGGGAGAGAAGAGCATTAGCAGTGGAAAGGAAAGTAACAGTGCCTTTTCTTCCTCTCTTCCCCTTCATAGATGTTTAGGGGTGTGTTACAGAGGCACCATTAAAGCCAGGCTTTTTAATGCTGTGGAAGACAGAACACTGAAGAAGGTGTCAGAGAAGGATGACAACTTGGGGAGACTGACATTCATCAGGCCCCTTGGAGAAGAGAGGGAATGTGGTACATCAGGTATTTCAAGGGCTGTCTGTGCTGTTTCATGCTGGCATTGATAATGCACTCATGTTGTAGGGTTACTGTGTTTCACCTCCAGAAATTTGCTGCATCACCTTTGTTGTTTCAGTCAACTCTGCCATTAGGTCTATTTACATAACCTGTGGTAATGTGGCAGCCAAACTTTGATTAGCACTTTCACCTCTGTGATTAGATGGACATCTGTAAGAAAGCAGTTTCCTTTGGTTGAGGACATTTTCTGAATGCAGGACTTTATCAGAGTCTACAAGTGTCTTGCTTCACTTTATTAATCCTACTGGTTTTTGGTCAAAACTGTGATCTTGAAAGCTTGTTGCAGCAGGTAAAAGTGCTGGAATAATAAGGTTCAGTCCCACTGTGATGTGCCACAGCCTGAGAACCAAAGCTGAAGCCTGCATTTAGCTTGGGTAGGTGTGGGGGTTGGAATGTATCAAAGCTGTCAGAGACCATGGGAAGGAGAAACTACAGCTGGCAATTAAGAGTGACCATGAGAAGAAGGAACTACAGCAGGCAATTAAGAGTGACCTGTCCCTGACTGGTACTTGGAAGATGTTGGAACTGGCAAGGAACAAGGACGTCGGAACTGGAAAGAGGATGTCGATAAGAAAGTCAGATAGCCCTTTCACCTGATGTAACCGCAAGGCAAACACAGATGTGCTTTGCTAATTGCTTGGAAGCATATAAATATCATGTAATCTTTTCAATAAACGATCCAGCTTGCACTCTACCTCTGGGTCTGTGCCTCCATCCTCACAGGTAGGACGTGAGCACTACTGCTGTCCTCTCTCTGCCTCTGGAGAGTGACCTTGGTCCCAGGTTGAAGCCAGATTCAGGATGCTGATGATAACGCACTGTTCCTCGGGAATTTCAGTCCTAAGAAGGAACTTATAGTCATGTTCTTACTTCATGTCCTTCGGGAAATGAGTATCCATAATTGCAGCTAAATTGGTGGGTAACATTCCCTCTTTCTCTGAAAAGCTAAGGATTTTTGGGAATGGAGAACTTGGGGAGCTGCTACTATACTGGAAGAGACAAAACAAGAAGAAAGAGTCCATCAGTTCAGGGCAGCTACACCTCTTTTTCTGCTATTACAAGCACTTGAACTTGCTATTTCGTTCCTCCCCTTCAACTCCCTCCTCGTTGCGACAGGAGGCTTGCCAAGCAGAATGTGAGGGCCTGAAACTGCTAACCTGGATGCCTGGGAGCGGAGGAAAAGCACGATTTTTATTGGCAAGTTGGAAGGAAGCAAGGGTACAGAGAGGGAATGGGCAGATATGTGGCTATGTGTGGAGTTACACACACATACACATATGCAGAGCTTGGCTTCCTAACAGTTCCCCACATCCAATAAAACTCCAAATCCCATACCCCACCACTCTCAGCTGTCTCAGTTTTTAAATCTTGTCTTCTCCATGTCACCAGCTTCCTTAAAATGGCTTATGAGCGATCTGATAACCATTTTAAACTCTTAAAAGGAGTTTTTAATCAGAGGTATTTTTAATCAGAGGTATTTTTGTGCAACTGCTGAAACAGCAAATGTTATGTCTATAATTATGTGGAGTTAAATGGTGTCACAGTAGAAGCTATGCTATACTAGTGCTACTGCAGCTGGCTGTTTGAAATTTGACAGTATTGTTATACACCATAAATGCCATCACATTACAGGAAATTTGAAACAATTTTAGGAAATATATGACTGAGTCTCCTGCAAATTCATCTTACTGGAACTCTGTTACAGAAAATTACCTGCCAGTGTCATAATGCTCTGTTCAGTTATACTTCCTTTATTTTAACTCTTCAGTTCTCAGTTATGTAAACTCCCTTCAACCATTCTGACATTGCTAAATGGGGCTTCTTAAAATGCATCTGCTGTTTCTTTACAAGAAATGACAAGACCATGACTGTGGGGAGATTCTGAGCTTCGGTCAGTGATCTAGTACCTGCTGTGGAAGTTCTTCACATTTCTATACGCACAGACACTGTCTTAATCCCCTCCAGTGGAAAGTTATACTGTGTTTCGCCTTTCTTCTGGTCTTCCCCTGTGACTCTCAGTAACTAAAGTCTTTTCACTGGCAGTGTTGTTTCCCCTCTTGCATTCTGCAGAGCTGCCTGTATTAGTAAAAATGGCCAGTTTCACGCTGCTGCCCAGGAGAACAAGGTAAACCTGCCGCGTTTGCAGCAAGTCCCCTCCTGGCCGCTCCTTCGCGGTCAGCAAAGCTGTAGGAGCGGGCTCCGGTCGCTGTGGGGAGAGCAGTGCCAGTGGGAACCCAGCTGCGACCCGAGGCCTCCCCTGCAGCAGCCGGTCTCGTTTCCGTCAGCGCAGCACGACGTCCCGCAGGCAAGGCAGCAGGCCGGGGCCGCTCCCCTTCCCGGCGGCGGGGTGCAGAGGCCACGCGGGCCGCCCACGAGCCCCACGCAGCTGGAAATCCCCACCACGGGGAAGCACGCTCCTCCGGCGGGTTTCCCCGGCCGGGAGGAAAGTACCTAACGGCCCGCTGACACCACGGCCTGCCCCTGCCTTGCCAGCGCCCTGCCTCGTCAAAGCCGCAGGAGAGGGGCTGAGGGGCAGTGCTGAAGGAGCAGGGGTAGGGCTGCGGGAGCAGGGCTGAAGGGGTAGGGCTGAAGGGGTAGAGCTGAAGGAACAGGGGTAGGGCTGAAGGAACAGGGGTAGGGCTGAAGGAACAGGGGTAGGGGTGAAGGGTACGGGCAGCCCCGGGGAACGCTGCTCTCGCCGGCGGCAGCACACGGAGCCGCTCGCTGGGGTACCGGGGTCCAGAGAAGGGAGAACCCCGAGGGCCAGCGGGAGGTGCCGATACCGGAAGCGACATCCGTTCCGGCCGCGCATGCGTCCGGCCCTTGCCGGGGCTTTCCCGGTGCGGCATTTCCCGGGCTGGGCGATGCTGGCGGGGGGCGATTCTTCCCTTCCCGGTCCCGGTGCTAGGCACTCTATATAGGCTGCGGCGCGCACTAGGGCCGCCTGCTGTGAGAGGCTCGGCCGCAGACCGTGAGTGTGGGGGAAGGGTGCGGGCGGGGAGGGCCGGGGCCCTGCCGGGTTTGCGCTGCTGTTGCTGTGTGGGCCGTGACGGGAGCTGAGCCCGCTGACGGGGCGGCGGGCAGGGAGATGCGCGTCAGCGGCGCCGCTGGGCACGGCGGGGGCTGTGGAGAACAAGGGCGGGCGGGCTGAGGGCCTGCTCTGCCCCGGGCACGGGGGTCCGGTGGAGGAGGGGGACGTTGCAGGATGGCCGCTCAGGAGCGGGACTTGGTCCCTGCGGGAGGCCGGTGGCGGCAGCGTGAGGGTGGAGGAACAGCGGGCGGGGCCCGGCCGTGCCGGTGAGGACCGCGGAGGAGTACGGGGCAGCTGCTGTACCCCGCTGGGGACGTGATCTGTGAATTTAGCGGAAAGTGCTCAGAAGGTGAACGTGTTCTACCTGGGTTATAGCGCCAGAGCAGAAGAATATTGAGCTTTGAGGTTGCTGCACTTTAAATTTCACTGCTCTAGACTTAACTAACTTCTTGGTGATACTGCAGGATAACAGAAGAAGAAATGCCCTTGAGATTCAGAGCAGTTGGGTAGCTGTGGAAATCACGGCTACTCAGGGCTATAGTGGAGGATAATACCGGAAGAGTGTCTGGCAGAAAATGACCTCAGTATCTCACCTTTAAGTGATCCTAAATGTTTTAAGATTACTAGGGTCTCGGTTTGTTCTGGTATTTCCAGCGTTTGCTCTGAGGGATCTGACTTTCCAGTACAGAAGCTGAATTAATTTCTTGGCTTAGCAGAATACGCCTGTGCTGATACCTTTAGACCTACCATTGGTGTTAAAGGAGTGGATTGGTTTAAAACGTTTGTAACTAATGTGCTCGGTGATTAAGAAGCTAGTAGTAATAGTGTGACCATCTTAAGAACAAATCTGCTGAGAGCTATTGAGATGAATAGGAAATGCTAAGATGTTTTCCAGTAGGTGTTTTTCCTAGGGCTGCTTCTGATCATGACAACTATATCTGTTTTGAGTCTTTCCTGGAAGAACTTCTAAGGAATTGGTACTGTAAAACAGACTGCTGTATATGAATAAATGTGAAATTATGTATTTAAAAATGTTTGAATTTCATCTTTGCTTTTACCTGAATTTCTTATGAAGTTCAGTTTTGCTGGTGTCCTGTGCCTTAGGTATCTTTGGACTTGCGTAAATAAGAAATTTCAGTACTCTTAATTTAACTTAGTGCAATAAAACTGGATCGTCATTGTTTGAGAATCTGCAAACCCATTTAAATGGATGCATCTTCTTTCGTACAAGATACTGTGTTCAGTTATACAGCTTGTGATCAAACTGTAAGATTCATCCGCTTGCCAGAAAGGTTTAGCAAGTGTTTAGAAGATGAATGTGGATTTAATATTTAATTGTGGATTAAATAGATTTGCATATGTCAGGAACTGGGAAATTGTGTAAAATCCACTCCATGTAACAGTATGTAAAGTTGGATCCCTGAAGCTTTCCACTAACATTACAAAAAAAGTTTATCTTGAGATGTTAGTATTTCAATTTGTGTAGTCTCTGTTTGCATAGACATTACACTATCCTGATTTTGTGTATTTTGAAACACTCCTCTCTCTTCTTTGCAGGTTTTGTTCTGCCCGAAAGAATTCAATGATTGAAACTATAGATACTTACAGTTTCTTCTTGTGAACACTCAGCATAAATATGGAGGCGTAGGCACCTTAAAGGGACATCAGTCTGAACTCTGGGAGGTAGTTCTGTGCACAAATAAAGAAACTAAGGCTTCAAATTTTATTTCTTTTTTAATCTGAGGATTCTGTTTGCTTCTGTATGCCATAAGGATGGCATACAGGAACAACTTAATTCAGTGGCATAAAGCATCAGAATGTCCTGACACAAAGCAATTAATTTATCTTAAATTTGATAACTCTATACTTGTAACTAAGGCACCAGGTTAAAATTGAAATGCTTTGCTCTCTGTGCTGACAGTGTTATAAACAGAAAAGCCTGGAGTTACTCCAGGCTTGTTAATGGAGAATTCATGCATCAGAGGCAGTGTAGAGGATTTATCTCATAGCTGAATAGTCAAGATATGTGAACTTGAGTATAAACTAACTTCTTTAGTCTCAGCAACTGTTACAACAGTACACGGAAGTTGAGGGTTGGGTTTTTTTTTGGTGGCTTTTTTTTGTGTTTTTTTTTTTAAGTCTAGTAGTAGCAAATACTCCAGATCAGTTCAGTAATGTTAGTTCAGGGGCTCTTTTTTTCATCTGCCATTTGAGCTTGGTAAACCATTATTTTCAGCCTCCTAATGAGATACACAAACTAAAATCTTTACATGTGTAAGCTGTCTATGGTGAAATAGTTCTTAAATCACGTAATACATGTTTTAGTTAAAAATGGTGTAGTTTTAGTTGCTCCCCATTTTAGTTTCTTTATTGACAAAGGGTTTTGGTAAACCCATTTGAGGTTTTCCCAGTCTGGATCCCACCTCCACTAGCCTGACAAATTGATACTGCTTTCCCAGATATACAGTACAAGGAAATCATGTTATGACTAGATCTTACAAGGGAAAGTCCTTTTTGACATGCTTTCTTCAATTCCCAAAATGGGATAGGGCAGCTTTTGCACAGATAGCAGTTGTATAAACTAAAATACAAAAACTTCCTGGATGTTTAAAGGCTGTTAATCATGGGACTTATTCTGTTCACATATGCATTCAAAGTTGCACATTAAAGCATTTAATTTTCAAGCTTTCTTTTGTACAGACGGGTTATTCCAAATTGCCTTTAGTGCACACAACTACCTCCCAGAGGAAGACTTGTCCCATTCTTCCAAATATAGTCCATTATGAACATAGTGGAGAACAGCCCTTTCTTGGCTAGCATCATGAAGCGGAGTGCTGTGTGTGGTGAGCTGAAATATGACTTAACCTGTGAACTCTACAGAATGTCAACATTTTCTACTTTCCCCATTAATGTGCCGGTGTCAGAACGGAGTCTTGCCCGGGCTGGGTTTTATTACACTGGTGTGCAAGATAAAGTTAAGTGCTTCAGTTGTGGCTTAACATTGGACAACTGGCAACCAGGAGATAATGCTATGGAAAGACACAAACAGCTGTATCCTAGCTGCAGTTTTATACAAAGCATGCTTTCAGTTAACAACCTTGGAGTGCCCTCTCATTCTACCTTTTCGTCTCCAGTTGTAAACAGTCTCTTGCCATCTCTACATTCCATGACACTCTCTCAAGGTTCAGAACAAGTTGGATATTTCAGTGGCTCTTTTTTCAGTTTTCCTCAAGACCCAGTAACTGCTAGGGCAGTTGAAGATCTTTCATTCTTGAGACCTAAGTTTCACAATCCTCACATGAGTACAGAAGATGCTAGGCTACGCACTTTTCACTCATGGCCACTGACGTTTATCTCACCTGCTGATCTGGCAAGGGCTGGACTTTACTACCTGGGGACAGCAGACAAAGTTGCTTGTTTCAGCTGTGGTGGTCAGCTGAGTAACTGGGAACCAAAAGATAATGCTATGTCAGAACATCGGAGACATTTTCCTAACTGCCATTTTTTGGAGAGCCTCACCAGAGACCAGCAAAGTTTCAATGTTTCAAACGTGAGCATGCAAACTCATGAAGCACGTGTTAAAACATTCATAAATTGGCCAACTAGAATTCTAGTTCAGCCTGAACAGCTTGCAGATGCTGGTTTCTACTATGTAGGTAAGAAACTGAAGTCTCTGGGTTTATTCATATTGCTGTGTCATCATTTACATAAATGGTGTGAATGTTTGCTAGATATTTTGCCTTGTTTCTTTTAAAGGCCACAATGATGATGTCAGGTGTTTTTGCTGTGATGGTGGTTTAAGGTGCTGGGAATCTGGAGATGATCCATGGATTGAGCATGCAAAGTGGTTTCCAAGGTAACTTGAAAATCTTTAGCATAATTTGTTCACATCCTTAATACTTCTGATTTGGACAGATATGTACTGTGGTTCATAGTTCTGTTTAACTTCATTATGTGATGTACAAATTCACTCCTTTATTTGGATGTATTTCATGTACCTCTGTTTAAAAGCTCTGAAGTGCTAAGGTGACCTTAAAACATTTCTTCATTAAGCATGATATTTAATGCTTTCCACTTCATAATTAAAAGCTGTGAGGCAGCATTGTTAATGAGCATACCTACCTAAGAGAAGCAGTCAGCAGGCAGACTGGGGAGAGCAAAAGCTGCTGAGAAATGAAGTAGAAGGAACATCTAACCCTCTTGCTCTAGTTCTGTGCCCATGCTGAAAGCTATTGAACCAGTCTTTCGGCTCATGCAGTTTAGTTTCATGGGTGTGGTAAGGCTTGTGAAGATTTCAGCAGCTGTTAATATGTCTCTTGGAAAAATTATGTAACTTTTTAACATCCCCCATAATTAAATGGCAGTTGCATACTTAATTGCTCTCTGTGCCTGTGGAAATCTCTGCCTACATGACAGATAGCTGCGCTTAATTTCAGGAAAGCTAATAATTTACATCACAGATCAACTAGTCTTTCATGGGCAATTTACCAGCTACTGTTGGACTACATGATATACATAGAGTTAAATGACACCTTTACTACCTTCTGTGTTATACCCGTCAGTAGATGAACTAAAGAGATCCATTCTGCATTAGTGAAGTAGGTCTGGCTTTGATAGTGGTTTTAAATGTTGCAAACTTGTTTTGAATTACTTAAGTGGGGGATAAGAATGTCAAGATGTGAAATAAAAACAGTTTATCAGTGTACTGTGTAGTGATGCTGACACTGTGTCATTTCTCATGACATGCTATTTTGATTAGAAGTGGTAGCAGAATGTAAAGCTGCTGCATTTATATACCTAAGCCTACTGATGGCTGAATGTCATGGAAAGCTTTATCCAAGTGTCACCAGGCTACATCAAGCTTCCAGTTAAGAGAACTTTTTCACTTATGAAGGAAAAGAAATATATAATTAAGTTATGCTGTGTTACTGTAAAGTGTGTCGTTCTTATGTATTTTTTTTTTCCCTTTGGCAATAGAAAGTATAATTCAGTATACTTAACCTTTCAGATGTGAGTATCTGCTTCGTGTAAAAGGAGGAGAGTTTGTAAGACAAATTCAGGCCAGGTTCCCCCATCTTCTTGAACAGGTAAACTTTACTGTTCTGTAACTTTTTTCCTTCAAAAAGACTGCTACATTCTTCTGGGGAGTTCAGTCCATCCTTCTGCCTCGTTTCTACATACCTTTCAACTAGGTGTCTGACGTGATAAATGCTCTTCATGAGCACAGAAATTAAGCCAGTGTTGAACCATGGCTAATGGACTGGGACTAGTAGAGATTAACCTGTACAGGTACGTATGGAAAGTGTCATGAGCCAGTGAGCTCCTTTGTGTCAGGAGAGGGAAATTCTGATTATATAAATTTCAGTGAGTAATGCCAATCAGTAATTGTTATTTCAGAAATCCGTTGTGGATAGCCTGAATTATTTCCATCCATAACTCTTATGGCAAGAGTAAGCGAACTTCTTCATGGAAGAAGAACTCTCCATGAAGTTCTTTTTCATGGAAGTGATCAGCGCTAACTTTATATTGATTATATAGTTGTACAAATACATTTTCAAATAAAAATCTTAGCATGGTTGATGAAGGAAGAATGTGTTAGAAAGCTATGTAGTGGGAAAAGCAATACTTTGATACTAATGTCGTTCTGTTGTTTTCCACAGCTCTTGTTAACCTCTGTAGATGAAAACGCTCATCCCCCAAGTATGTATATTAAAGTGTGTTTTTAAACTTCCTCAGCATTTTGGTTGGAACTAGATGGTCTTTAAGGTCCCTTCCACCCCAAGCTGTTCTGTGATGCGGTTATTTTGCAGAGTTAATGATATGCTATCTGGAGGTGATTTGCATAACAATTCTTACATTTTCTTGGAAAGAACACTATTGTAAAGATTTTCTATCTAATGTTGTTACATGAACAAACTTTAAGGAAGCACCTTTAAGATATCTCGTCTTTCATTTTTCTTATTTTCACACTGACAGATCACACTGAGATTTGGCATCTGCTGTATCTGTGTTTTCTACTTTCATGGTTGGGTTAAACAAATCAATTTGGCATTTGTTAAATTGAGTTATGTTATAGAACTTGGTGGAACGGTTGCTAGAGGGTGTCATGACTATGTAGTTACGCAACTCCATTTTTACTAGTGTAGCTAGATAAATGCTCAGAGTTGAGAAGTAGTGGTCAAGGAGAGGGTAGGACAAGCTGATAGAGTGAAGTCTTTCTGAGTTGGACTGTAGTTAGGGTGGAAATAAACTCCTCCCAGAGGGTGTGTGGGTTATCGGAGTTCCTGCTGGTTGAGGACAGTGAGTTGGAATCCCATGTGTCTGGTGCTTAGTATGTTGAATGGAAAATACTGATAATACTGAAGAGCTGCAATAGAACAATTGTCTTATTGTGAACTTTGAATTTTGACACACCCCCGACATTTTTCAAGGCTATTAATAAGTATAAAAAACGCTGCTAAGAAACAATGGAATTATCTGTGACTTCTCTTTAGTGAAAGCCTCACATGGACTGGTGTTTAGTATGTGTTCAGTTCAATTGTATTTAAGAAACTGGCTTCTAACTAACTACTTTTGAACTAGCTACTTAAAACCAGCTGTTTAACCATTGAAGCTTTTTAATGCTAGGTATTCGTGTATATATGCATATGTGTGGATGATGTTGCTGTGTCTGACTTCTGGGTTGTATAGGTATTTTACTGATGGTATTTTTCCTCCAATCAGTTTTTCATTTTGAACCTGGAGAGAGTCATTCAGAAGATGTAATCATGATGAACACACCTGTGGTTAAAACTGCGTTGGAGATGGGATTCTGTAGAAGGCTAATAAAGCAGACGGTGCAAAGCAAAATCTTGGCCACTGGGGAAAACTACAAGGATATTCATGATCTTGTGTCTGATCTGCTCACTGCTGAACATGAAGAGAGGGAAGAAGAGAAAGAGAAACAATCTGAAGAAGTGGCATCAGGTATGCATGAAGCATTGAAAAAAAGTGAAAGCAGAAGTGTCTTGTGTGATGTAGAGCTTTTATAATTGTTTTTATTCAGTAAGTGATTTACTTAATTGCTGTTAGGATTGTCTTCTTTAAAAGCACTGTCAGGGTATCTGTATGGAGCTAGCAGTCTGGGAATTGTTTCATTTCCCTTCAGGAGGATGGTTCATATGGGTGCTGAGGGTTCAGAATCACCCGACCCTCTTCACCTGCTGGTAAGCTGCCATACCCAGCTCATAGAAGAGGCCAGAAATTTTTACAAATTTACGTTCTGTAAGACTGCTAAAATTCAGCTTTTTCTGTGTCTGACTCAACCGTTCAGGTCAGCTATTTAACTGTGTTTGAGTGTCTTTTAATGTTTCCTACTGCTTTAATAACATACAAGTTTTGAAGCCTAAAAAAAACCTACTGTTTTTGAGTCTGTGAAGCAGTATTGAAACTTCTCAGTTATAAATTGAATTAAGACTGCTGCTTTCCTACTTGCATTCTATATCAAAAAAGCACAGATGAATTCAGCCATTAAATCTTCATAAATTTTTTTTTTTTGTTTTTTGTGATAATCTATATAAAAAAAGGCAATCTCACAAGTCTGGTTGTGCTGTACTTGATTTTCTTCCACATAATTCTGTTGGACACCTCTTACAAAAGTTTGATTTATATCTGCATCTTGGACATGATTTTGACTGCCACTGACTAAACCTTTTGGTTAGTGAGTCAGCATTGGTGTTATGCAGAGGCATTGTTCTTGAAATTCTGTGGAGAACCTAAGTTGAAAGGATGCCTACGAAGATGAAGACTCCCTTTTTACAAGGAGTCACGTGTTAAAAATGAGGGGTGATTGGCACAAATTATTCCCAGGGGGATTCCTGTTGGACAGAAGAGGAAAATTTTTCACGTGAGAACAATCAGCCATTGGAGTAATGCCCCCAGCGAAGTGGTGGATTCCCCAGCACTGGACACTTAGGATATATCTATACAAGGTGCTGGGACATCTAGTCTAGGTCATGCTTTGCCAAGAGAGACTGGACCAGATGATGCTTGAGGTCCCTAGCAACCTGGTATTCTGTAATTCTAAGTGAGTCTTGCTAGTGTGAAGTTAGACAAAATCCCCTCAGATAGTTTAAGTTAGATGTGGGAGCAGGAGGCTTCATTGGTGAAAAGGCTTCAGCTCAGAAGCTGCTTGTATGTGGTTTTCTTAAGTCTGTTGCATGTGTGAGTGCCACTAAAACGTACTCAGTTCTTAATCAACAATGTGTAGTAAGTGAACATTTCAAACAGTTTAAAATACGTGTCAGTTATTGTTAAGCAGAAATGCAACTTGGAGTAGTGTTTGCTTAACAAACATCTAATTCTCTGCATTCCAGATGATTTGTCCTTAATCCGGAAGAACCGAATGGCTTTATTCCAACGTTTAACATGTGTACTTCCAATCCTCGAGAGTTTGCTGTCAGCCAAAGTGATCACAGAACTTACGCATGATGTTATTAAGCAAAAGACTCAGACAGCACTGCAGGCAAGGGAACTGATAGATACAGTTTTAGTGAAAGGAAATGAAGCAGCCAGCATATTCAGAAACTGTCTACAAGATTGTGACCCCATACTGTACAAAGATTTATTTGGTATGTGTGTCTCTTTCTTTTTTTAAAGATATAACTTTGTAGAAATGCATAATCAGTGCTGTCATAGCAACCTAAAGATTAAAAAAAAAAAGTCAGATGCTGTTTGAATGTAGATTAGCCAAATGACTAAGGATTTTTTTTTCTCTTATTTTAGTGGAGAAGAACTTGAAGTATATTCCTGCAGAAGATGCTTCAGGTATCTCAGACTCTACCTTCTTACTTTAAAGGGTATTGTGAGACGAACAGCTAACATCTTAAAGAAGAAAATGACTTTGCTAAAGAAATAGGTTTTGCACTTTACACTGTCCCTAATTCTGCTTTGGTAAAATGGACTTACCTGAAGAAGTTAAGTGCATGCGCAAAGTTGAAAGCAAGTGTGTCTGCTGCAAGCTATGTTCTTACATACGCTTTCGTGTCATAGGTAGAACTTTCTGGAGCTTGACAATTTAAGCACGTACTGGACTTGATCCTTGTACAGTATTTTTTTTCAGGCATTTGGTAGAGACTAGGCAGTCAATAGGTTAGCATTTCACAACAGGTATCATCATCTCTGCTTTTACAGAGTAGGTTATAGGTGTCCTAAAATGTAGCTTGACCAACAGTGGGGTAGCTAAAAACTTACCAGGTGTGGGGCTGAGTTTGCTCTGGTTCTTAGTCCTGTAGTTTAATAAGTTAATAGGCTGCAGAAAAGTATACAAGCCTGAACATAGCTCACTTCCACCAGCCAGCTTGTGCTCTGGGCTTCAAATACCCAAGCAAGAAAAGTACAGCATTTGCTAAAATGCTAACATGGGGTTGGCCTCAAGAGCTATAGCTGGCCTCCAACCCTTGAGCTGTTGTTATCTCACAGAAGTGGAATGTACAGACTAGTTCCTTGCATGCCACTTTCTGAACTCTGAAAATGTACTTACTGTCTTACTGCTGTTTAGTGAATACAGAGAGGGAAAGAAAGGGTAACATGGATGTATATGTTCAGGCTTGTTAAAAAGTTAAATGTTTTCTTTCAGGTTTACCTATGGAAGAGCAATTAAGAAGACTGCAGGAGGAAAGAACATGTAAAGTTTGCATGGACAGAGAAGTTTCCATTGTTTTTATTCCATGTGGTCACTTAGTGGTATGCAAACATTGTGCACCATCCCTTAGAAAATGCCCTATCTGCAGGGGGACAATAAAGGGCACAGTTCGTACGTTCCTTTCATAAAGAGGGAAACTTCCAAAATGTCTTCGGTAGTGTTATCTTCTAGCTGCTGAAGCTTAAGCCAGCAGTGTCCTAAGAATGGAAAATTGTGATACAGAAGATGATTAATCAACTACCTAACACTGTTGTGTAATAGTAAACTCTATCACCATTATGGGGATACCAGGCCATCCTTGCCAAAGACTTTCTGTTCATAAAGCTAGCTCAGTACTCAGGTGAAGTTTGTGTAACTTTCCTTTTTAAGGAAAGCAGTTTCACTCATATGCCCTTGTGTCACTTTGAATAAAAAAAAATTCTGGATCTTAAAATTGAGCCTGGTGTAACTCATGAGTTTCCTCCATGTGGATGTGAGGAAATACATTAAGATTGCTGTTTATTAATAATTAATATTGATTAACTTCAGTTACTGCTTTGGCTTCTGTTCTGGCTTTATTGTGGACTTGAGGAGAAAAGAGGGTATCTGTTGCAGGGACAGCAGGAGTTATTTTTTTAAAGTTTTGCCTTGTGTAGATACTTGTGTAATGTGTATTTAATTATAGTGTATATGAAGACTGAATTAAAATATTTCTGCTTCCCAAACAAGCGCTTCTCTCTTCCCATTGTTGGCTTTTATCTGTAGACTGCTTCTCCTGGCAGAAGTTTGGGGTTGGTTATTTACCTGTAAAAGTACAATAAAATTTAATTGTGTGTCTTTTATTTGTTTTTGAGCAGAGAGTGAGAGTCTGCTGCTTGGTGATTCCCACTGGTAAAGCAAAAGGTTTTGATTTTTATCCTCATTAAAAAAATAAACAACAAACCCCATGAAAAAAACCCACCGTAATGGCATCTGGAACTTCCTTCTCCTTGGTTTTTCAAAGAATAGAAATCCTGCCCCCCATGACCTTAGAGATGAGGCAGAGGGTAGCTATGCAGCAGTATAGCCTTTATGCTAGGGCTTAAAATGTAAAAGCTACTTTTCTGTGTTTGGAACTTAATTATGATTGTGCAATTATATAGGATCTTCTAGCCCCATCTCAAGTCATGGGGTCTTACTTTGTAAGCTGGTAGTTCAGGGACTTCTGTTTCTTTACTCTTTGACTCTTACTTTATCCTTTTAAGCTTTGTATCTGTAGACTTGCATAGTAGATACCCACGGAGGGAAGGGGGTTCGTAGGTATTTTACAGGGATTCAATGTCAAACACTGGAATGCAGGATGAAATCAGATCCTGCAGTGGTGATTTCGGTTTGTCTGGCTCTTACGTCAGCTGTCTTCAGTCATATCTTCATGCCCAAGTGTGAATCTCTCAATCTTCATCCCTGCTAGAAATAAGATGTTTTTAACTGTACTGTGGTGTCTTTACATTCTGTAGTGTGAGGTGAAAATACCTTGCAAACATTGGCTTCCTCAAACTTCAAGTTGTGTGCGTGTAACTGGCTTTCATCACTTCATACGTGGCTTTAGATATACATGTGTAACCTTTAAAAGGAGAGCCCCCCATGTGTGTGTGAAAAAGTAAAGTGTATACATTGAAAAGAGCTTGTGTGGGCTGTGCAGCTTGTGACTCCTCGTGATTCACCCTCTGTAATGGTTGCCCAATGCTTAGAGCAAGGCCTGTGTTTAGTGGGGGGAAATGTTTGTCACTAGCAAATAAATTCCCACTAATGCTTAGAGGTGCTGTTATGTTTGATGCTTGTAGACATCTTTCCTGTGGTACATCTGAGTTGTAAGTTAGTAAAGTCCCCCTCTGAGTCAGTGAAGGGAAACTCTGGATCTCCTGCTATAATCACCTGCCATCTAGGGCAATCTGTCCACTGCGTTTGGGGTTTAGGCTGTATGCAAAGTTAACAGTAAATTTTATTTCTAGCATAATTGCAGCCTGCATGTTATATCAAAGTTTTGGATAGCTAAAAAGGGCAAAACCATGTACTTTTATTTGTTAATGACACGATTGAGGCTGATTTGTTAATAGATTCAGGTTGTTTCAGTAAAACTTATCACTTTAAATTTGGTGAGGACAGTTGAGCACAGGAAGACAAATACGTTCTAGCTGCCATCTATCCTGTATCTCCAAGCAGCATGTCATGGGCTGGAGTCCCTATCAAAATACTACTGGAGTTGCTCATTTTGAGAAGTCTTGCTTTGCTGTCTGGGGGTGAGGAGAGAGGTGTAAGAATATGGACTGGTTTGTCTTTTTAAACATTTTTAGTGTGAATTCAGCAACAATGATGTTTGGTTTCACCCATGTTTTCATAATTTCTGCAGCACCAATTAATGCTGTGCATTAGCTGGCACTAATTGTTTCAATGCTTTGGAATATGTTCCGTGTACGTAGGATTCTTTAACTGTCAGCTGGCTTGCTGTAATTCTTCTAAATTCATATCTTTTGTCCAACTTCATTACATGTACATGTCTTCCTTTTAATTTTGGTGTTAAACATGTAAATATTTCAAACGTAGCATGTAGTTTTAAACAGTTTTGATTAACATATGTTTGCTTTTCTGGTCTTGAAATGTTTTTGAAGGCTCTTTTGTGTAGCAACTTAAAAAGTTGTCAAAGGTTATGAAAGCTTGTTAAGGAATAAAGCAAATGACTTGAAATTTGATGTTCAGACCTAGGAACTGGTAATATTGGAACCCTAAGTGTGCTTAGTACAAATTAAGATGAGTCTGCAGGAGGAGCTGGAGAGATCAGGTTCACCTGGAAAGTGTAGAGTTGTTAGTATGTGTTTCTGAACAGAGAAGAAGATAGGGGAAAACAGTAGTAGGCAGACTTCTTAAGCATTTTTTTAATGCATTTTTCTTTAGAACCATAGGGAATTAGAGTTTTTCAACCATTGCTGTTACTACACATAGATCTGATGACAGGATATGCTGGGCCTTAGAAGTGATGCAGATGTTTGGTGTCATTTGTGGTGCCTGAGGGTATCTTTGGGCCTGCAACATACCTGTCAGCCCAACTCCAGTCAGCACTGGCTGCTTGCATCTGGGCACCTGAACTACCTTCTGAGAAGTGAATGATACAGAAACTGCTAGGTAAAGTTCTTTGACCTTGTTTTGTCAGGAAGGCCTGTCTAGGTTATGGCTTTCAACTACTCCACACTATGATGGTTGTGGTTGCCCTGATCTCTAGTGCTGCATGAGCAGTCAAGCTCTCCTTGGTACTTTTCCAAGACAGCTGTAATGAAACTGACTCTGTAGCACGTTGCAAACAGCACCTTAGCAAAATCTTCAACCACAGAGAAGACTGCCTGCATACTGTCAAGTTTGGAGAGGATCAAGGGACTTCTGTTCCCTGTGAACAAGCTGACCACGCTTACATTTTGTTCTGTCCACTTCCTCCTTTAAAAGCATTTTCCAGAGCTTTGTCTGGGTTAAACAGCAGCAAACAGCCCTTGTGCCCTCAGCTTCCTGTGCAACTCTGCTGACCCAGCAGCTCAGGTTTTTCAGATGTCAGCATTCTAGGTCTGGAGCTTGTCATGAGCTTGCAGAGCATGTTTGCACAGCTTAGGGGGTTTAGAGGGTGGGAAGCTTGGTATCATTGGTCAGACTTGGTGTAAATGAAGGTTAGAACAAGTCCAGAGAACGGCCACGAGGATGATCAGGGGACTGGAGCACCTCCCGTATGAAGATAGGCTGAGAAAGTTGGGGCTGTTCAGCCTGGAGAAGAGAAGGCTGCGTGGAGACCTCATAGCAGCCTTCCAGTATCTGAAGGGGGCCTATAGGGATGCTGGGGAGGGACTCTTCATTAGGGACTGTAGTGATAGGACAAGGGGTAACAGGTTAAAACTTAAACAGGGGAAGTTTAGGTTGGATATAAGGAGGAAATTCTTTACTGTAAGGGCACTGGAATGGGTTGCCCAGGGAGGTTGTGAATGCTCCATCCCTGGCAGTGTTCAAGACCAGGTTGGATGAGGCCTTGGGTGAGATGGTTTAGTGTGAGGTGTCCCTGCCCATGGCAGGGGGGTTGGAACTAGATGATCTTAAGGTCCTTTCCAACCCTAACTATTCTATGATTCTATGATTCTATTCTAAGATGATATTCCCAGCCTCTATAAATGCTCTATAAATGAGCAATTTCTTTACCTGAATGAAGCTTATCCTATCTGCAAAGGATCTAGCTTGGAGCACTTGCAGTTTCTGATACTGGTTTGGGATACTGTAAGGTACAGTGGCTTCCCAGGTACCAATTGTATCTTTTGTTAAGCAAAGTACCATGAAGCTTTATTGTAATTACTTAGTAGTTTCCTGCATGTGTGGTGGTGTTAGTTTTTTTGGTGTTTTTTTTTTTTGGGGGGTGGTTTTGTGGTTTATTTTTGTTTGGTTGGTTTTTTTTTTTTTGGTTTTTGTTTGTTTGGTTTTCTTTTTTGGGTTTGTTTTTTTTGTGCATGTATATGTGTGGCGTGTTTTTTTAACAATGCAGATCTTTCTGTTCTGTTTGACCAGTGAGCCCAGAGCTCTTCAGACTGAAGCCAGCATGCAGGCCTAGTGTCCACAAGTGATTGGACGGCCACCCCTCATTGTAACAGGGCACTGCCTTTATATGCCAAAATAAATGGCCATACATGAAATATCTGGAAACTGCATTTGCATGATATTGATAAACAAAAATTCTTATATTGCTGCTTTTTGTAGCTGAGAGTTTGTGGTTGTTTTGTAACTCCATAGTACCATGCTCTCAGAACTTGGTTCTTTGCTGTATTCCTCATGAGACAGAAGGAAAGCACATGAAATTGCAAACTGTATTCACCTGCCTTTAATTCAGTGTTGTGGTGGTTGCAGTGTAGTGAGGCTGGGTGTGCAGTATCGTGTTTAATGCTGCAGATGGACTGAGCTTGTAAATTCTGCTTTCTTGCTGCGTGTTATTCCTGGTGAGCCACCTCAGGTACGTGAATTTAGGCAGGACATGTTTTCTGGACATTGAAGGTATTCCCTGTTCTGCTGAACTACTTAAAACACGCAGTTGTTGCTCTTGTTCCGGAGGTTACTGGTGCAGGCAGTTAACTTCCTGAGACAGCATTAAAGCACCAGTCTTTTGTTTCTGTTTTTGAGCATGTGCACAGAAGCTACCAGTGCTGCAGCCCTGCTTCCTCACTGGTGGCTGCTGGCATGGAACCCTTGAAGCCCAAGAATCTAGGGTACTGCATGCATCCTGTGTGAGGAAGAACAGAAATCCAAACAGATCTTGATGTGCTATTTTCAAAAAAGCAGGTGAGGTATTTCTGCACCCCCCCCCCCCCCCCCCCCCAAATCCTGCTGGAACAAAACAGGAAATTGCACAATAAGTAATGTCCTAGGAGTAGCCTTCACATTTAATTGTGGCCTGGGGAAACTTTTTTTAGGCAAAACAAGATGGAGAACTTCCCGAAGGGTTCCAAGCTTACATGTTGGAGGGTGCAGATTTGGTCAGAATGAAGATCTTTGGGATGCTCTCTTCATTTGGCAGGTAGCGAAATGAAATACTTGGTATTTATGAAGTATAGGGTATTAGTTAAGGTTGTGATCTCCCAATGGAATATAGCTTCAATTCTAAGGGAAGAATAAAGTCGTTAGAAGGGGTTGTCATATACGCAACAATCAAAACCAAAACACACCTCAGTTGTACAGACACTTGTGGCTTTTCTTTATGAACTCTGATAAGAAAGGCTTACATAGTTTTTCTTCCAGCACTTTAGAAGCACCGATCATCTCAGTGCTGGCCAGGTCCAACACCTTGGTTTCCAAACTGCTTTCATCCTGATGTGGAGAAGGTCAGAACAAAAGATAAACTGAAGGTTGAGTATTGGGGGTAAGAATATATTTCCTTTTGGTATTCTTAAAAGGACACTGAAGAGCCTCCAGAACTTGGGGTCACTTGTGTACTTTCAATTTTTGGAGCTCCTCAATTGGATGTTCTGAAGTGTAGGGGTGACCTGACACTGAAGGATAAAATTAATCATTGATCCAATCTTCAAAGTAGTGTTTCAATAGCTAAGCAAACACAAAACTCTAACACAAGCTGAAGCTTAGATACTGCAGGATCAACACCAGGAACTGGCAGTCCCTGTGGCTATGCTGTTTGTGAGAACTGTCAAATGCAGATTCCTAAGGTCATTTAACTTTCCTGGGTTTCAAGACTTATCTTGGTCATACACCAACTGGGACTCCTTCAGTGGTGCCCAGACAGCATATTTACATCCTGCACAGATCCATTCTTATTGTCTGCTTCCATATCACAGCTAAATTCTTAACCTCTTGAGTTATGCAGGCAATTTTCTGGTGCTCTTCCACTTTGCTTTTGGCAATATTGTCATTCTGTTGCTTATATGTTTTTCAATAAAGCACGTTAAGAATGCTGTGTATGTCCTCAGGGCAAAACCAGAGTGGTGTATGTAAGAGTGTTAACAGTCTCTGAATAAAAAGGAAAGGTATGAAAGTAGATTTATAAAGAATTAATGTTTAAGTTACTGAATATTAACACATTAACATGCTTTAATATCTCTCTATATATATTTTTAATTAAATTAAACCCCCAAATCTATCACTGCGGCATTTCTGGACTGCTTTGAAGCCTTTAAATGCAGGTCCCCATCAAAGCAATTACAGTGGAAGGGCTATGGTTTGGTAGTGGAACACAGGCTAAAGGAGAGCTGCCGAAAAAGGAAAGCACTGTGGGAGGAAGGCAGGATGCTGCAGTCCTGAGATGTGGTCATATGGTTGATTTTGAGGTGTCTGAAGGGCAAAAGCAATGTTCATGATACCTGACTCAAGGCAGCTATGTTCTGTAGCCACCAGATGACTTCCCAAGCCTGTAGTATTAACTAAAATAAATTCTGATATGAAGCACAAACCCATGAATGTTTGGACTAAGAATGGATATAGGAATTGTGTGACTGAGATGTAGTGATCAACTATGACTGGTGATGAATGCTGGTGATGGGCTTAAAACATGATACTGTAAATGTAATTCTCTATTATGTCACCAGAGGGGCTCCTAATCAAGACAGAACTATGAACTACATGGCTCAGCCATCAGTACTGGCAACAGATACACAGTCCTGCCAAGAGGATAAACTACAAATTGTTGAATCAACTTTACAATATTATTAAACTCAGCTAAGGAATAGCTGAAAAGACTGACTGTACAGTAAGTATACCTAGAGAAGGGGAGGAGCTACTTATGCTAGAATATTGTGGCATAAAATGAATACAAATCATAAACTTGTGATTGAATTTAGAATAATTTATCACCAGAGAAGTGAATGGGAAGATACTTCTGTGAGGAAGGATTGTACTTGGAAAACATTTCTTTACTGAGAGGATACTTAAACACTGGAACAGGTAAATGCCCCAAGCCTGTCAGTGTTTAAGAGGCATTTGGACAGTGCTTTAATTTGGCCAGCCCTGAAGTGATCAGGCAGCTGGACTAGATAATCATTGTAGATCCCTTCCAACTATTATATTTTCTATTCCCCACATATCTGGGCTAGTGCTGGACTTAAGTCTGAGCCAAAAGACCTCTTCTCTGCCTTTTGTTCCTACTTCAGCTTTATACTTCATATTGGTCTACAATTTGGTAGATTCCTGTGGCAAACCCTTTCAGGTATGTTTTCCTTACAGAACCTAAGTACCAGTCTTTATTTAACATAATCAAGATTTTTGATTATGAGGCTAAATCAGTTAAATTACTGATACAGTCAACCCCTTTACCTGTGTAAAGCATAGCTAAATTCAGGTCCACTGCTTCTTCCAGTGTTGTAGAGTGACATTAAGGACTGAGGCCTAAACCTATACTTAATTGGTGGTATGATACATTGAAAGGCTGTCATAGAATCACAGAATGGTTTTGGTTGGAAGAGACCTTAAACATCATCCAGTTCCAACCCTTGTCATGGACAAGGACACCTTCTATTAGACCAGGTTGCTCAAAGTCCCATCCAACCTGGCTTTGAACACTGCCAGGGATGGGGCAGCCACAACTTCTCTGGGCAACCTGTGCCAGTGCCTCACCACCCTAACAGGAAAGAGCTTCCTAGTATCTAATCTGAATCTACCCTCTTTCAGATTAAATCCATCCTTCCTTTTCATTCTATGCCCCTGATTTCTTGTAGTTCCCTTTTAGGTTCTGCAAGCTGCTCTAAGGTCTCCATGAGCCTTCTCTTCTCTGGGCTGAACAATCCCCAGCCTTCTCAGCCTCTTCATAGCAGAGCATAGCTTATCTTCCAGCTTTTGGAGCATCTTTGTGGCCTCCTCTTGACTTGCTCCAGCAGCTCTACATCCTTCTTGTGTTGCTGGCCATACAGCTGAACACAGTATTGCAGGTGGGGTTTTTGTCCTGTTCCTCCCACTTTACACCTGTGGTTTAAACTCAGTCAGCCACGCAGCTGCTCTCTCACTCTCCCCCCCTTCCGGAGGGATGGGGAAGAGAATGGAAAGAATGTAACTCCCACGGGTTGAGATAAGAGCAGTCCAGTAAACAAGGTATAACACAAACCACTGCTGCTACCACCAATAATAATGATGATAAGGGAAATAACAAGGGAAGAGAATGCAACCGCTCACCACCCACTGACCGATACCCAGCCCTACCCTAGCAGCGATCTCACCTTTCTGGGTAACTGCCCCCAGTTTATATACTGGGCATGACATGCTGTGGTACACAATACCTCTTTGGTCAGTTTGGGTCAGGTGTCCTGTCTCTGCTTCCTCCAGGCTTCCCCCCCTCCCTGGCAGAGCATGAGGCTCAGAAAGTCCTTGGTCAGAGTAAACATTACTGAGCAGCAACTAAAAACATTGGTGTTATCAGCTCTGTTCCCAGGCTGAAAGTCAAAAACACAGCACTGCACCAGCTACTAAGGAGAAAAATGACTGCTACTGCTGAACCCAGGACAGTAACAAACCTGGGTTTTCACTTACTATTGGGAAGCAAATCTCACCTTTAATTTTACATTTATCAGTTGCACCTCACTTTTACTTTGTCTAGTACCCAAACACCTGAAGGAGGCCAGGTTCTACCTTTGCACTGACATATCTGTAGTCTTAAGCACATAATTTTGCTTTACTATAGCAACACGATTGCAAAATACATTACAAATGAGTGAGATGGGCAAAAATGCCCTTGAGCTGCTATTCTAAGATTTTAAAGTCATATGCAAGTGAGTACTTCTTAATCAGTAGTTATGACTGGAAAAGGTTGAGGGAATTATGACACCATCCACTAAAATAAAAATCCAACTAAACTTGATATAGTAACTCCAAAGATTAAATTTTATTTACTCATCTGTACAATAGAGGTAATCCCAGTAACTGAGTTGCACTTAATTTTCTTAATTTTTATAAAGGATCTACAGTTCTAGTGAAGAATTGTTTACAAACTCTTCAAGTCAAACCCAGGTTTTCCACTAAACAATGCAATTAGAAGAAATCATAAAAAGTTACTTCAAATTACTCTTCGCCCTGGATCTTGACCTCAGTAAAAACCAAACCAGACCTGCTATGCCCACATCAGGTGCCTAGCTGGTGCTATTAAGGCTACTCATTAGCCATGGTTTGCTGGAGTCAACTGTGCCTTGGACTCAACAGTTTTACTACTTGGAAAAATACAGCCACTTTAACATTGCATCTCAGAATAAAGTATTGCTCAACAAAAAAGTTAACCTGTGTCAGAGCTGTAGTCTTATGTTCCCTGATGAGTTGTATCCCATTTCCCTGACAGGGGTACACGCAGTTCCTGTTGTGACCTTCCTCAGCTGTGCCTACCTCCCCACTGGGCCATGCATGATGGATAGTGCCAGCAGTAACCAGGATGGTCAAGTCCCACACTAACTCAGTGCACTGAATGATTATTCAGTGTTTCTTGATTCTTGCTCTAGTTGTCCTTACACCAGTGTAAATCAGGAGCCCATCTACTGAAGCCAGCAGGTTTACCTCAGTTAACCTCAGTGCAGAACTGATACAGAAGCAGCATCAGCCATCTTCCATAGGACCCCCAGTGTATTTGGGCCTTAATCTAAAGGCCTTCTAAGACATGGCCCATTGCCTTCAGTGGCCTTTTGACCAGGCCTCTGTACACGTGTGCAACAGTACCAAGTTCTGAAAATAGTTGTAAAAATGCAAATTATATTCTTCTAAAATGCTATCTTACACATTTTCCACTTCTCTTTGTAACTTCCAGTGCTTATCAAATGCTGCTAAAACATTACATACAGATTCAAGGGACTGCTACATTCAACTTAAAGCCAATTTTCAGAAGCCGTTTTCATATTTTTTCATATTTATGAAGGTGCAATTAGATTTTCCCATTTTTACTTTACTTTCAATTGCACATGCTTCATTAGTACAACATGCTATAAGGAAGAAGCTACGGATCATATAGGCTGTTTTCTTGTAAGCACCCATTTGGAGGAAAGGGTTGATGGAGGGGTATCTCCAGCCTGTCCACGCTTCCTGCAGCTAGGCTCAGGAAAGTCTTTGCAGGTCACTGGTGAGATAATAACTGAAGTTATAAGTACACATCAGACTCATTTAGGTTGGAAAAGACCCTTAAGAAAGATAAAGTCCCACTGTTAATTCAGTGCTGCCAAGTCTACCATGCCACTAAACCATGTCCCCGTGCTGCATCTACGCATCTTTTAACCTCCAGGAACAGTGACTCCACCACTCCCCTGGGCAGTCTAATCCAGTGTTTGACAACCCCCGGATGGGGTGAAGAAGTTTTTTATAAAATTCAATCTAAACCTCCCCTGGTGCAACTTAAGGCCTTTTACCCATTATTACCTTCTATAGAGTCAGCAAACCACATCCCCTTATAGCGCAATAAAAATTAACCGAGTTGTTCAAAATCCAAAATTTCTAAACTATAGTTTGCATCAAACTTCAAAATAAATAAGTTTAATACAAAATCTTAGGAAAAAAAAAACTCCATTTTACTTGCAAAAACCTATGCCTACTCTCAAATGTATCCTAATTAAATCTACTATATCCATTATAGAACACACCGGATTTATAAAGTATGTGAGAAATAACTAAACTTAATTGCAAGGCTGCGATCCACTGTGCTATTTTAGACTTGTGTGTGTACCTGAAAATGACTCAAGATGTGCATTTCTTTACATCTGGTTACAAATACTGGAAAAAGAAAATACTGTCTCTACAGAGCACTGAGTTCCTCTTCTCCTTATGAAAGCCAATGCAAAAAAATCAGGATGTTTAAAGAGCTTTTCAACATTTTGCAGGATCACACTGAAGGCAGGTCTAGAGACTGGTATCATCTTTATGAAAGATACTCTTCCAGAAGCAAGTTAAACAGCTGTGACAGGATGGGTTTCTTCTTCCCTGAAGTCTCTTTAAATGATGGCATCATGTTCATCACTGTAATAGAAACACAGTAATTAATGTTCTGCAGTACAAGCAACTGTCAATGAGAAAGAGCCACCCAGCTGCTGCTGAGGAGGTTATTTTGTGAACAGAGAACATCTTGCTGGAAGGACTAAGGGCACATTGCTCTGGGAGTTACAGTCCTCTCTGAGCCAAATCTGAAGTTAACAGAACAATTGCATTTTGCCAACACTCCTCCAGCTTCACTAGCTTCATTTTGGCTTTCATTCAAGTATCTATTTTTACATCAGCTGTTGCAGTGCCATTTTTATCCTATCTTACCCACATGCAGTAGTGACAGGCAATCAAAGCCAGTTTAAAAGCTCAGCGACAGATTTCCTTTGTTTCAGATACCGATATAAATTCTGTAATATCCGTTCAAACACCAACATGGGAAAATGTGCAGTAGGGACTGGTTAAATTCCATGACCACCAAGCAAAATTCAAGATAGAGAGAAAACATGAGGCCTAAACAGTAACATCCCAACAAGTCTAATGACATCACCTCACTTAAAACAAGCTTCTCAACCAAGATGGAGGATACTCAATAGGAAAAAGAAAAGCAACCTGTTTTTCAGAATTCACAGTTCTTAAAGTAATTATTAGACAAGGAGGCAAGTCTAGAAGCCTGGAAGAAAACTATGTAGAGCTGAGTATAAATGGCAAATGAGATGGTACAATTTTGATTGAGCTATTCACTACAAAAGGGGTGAGGTACAAGACAAAGCTCTCTCACAGAGGAGAGGCATAATAATAAGGAATAGCTGATGTGGTGAAAGACAAAATATCACAGTTAAACCTCTTAATGATGATAATATAATGTACATTAAACCAACGTGTGCAACAGTTCATTCTCCTTGTTTGTCTGTGTCTTCTCAAGAAAGTAATACATTAACAAGGACAATCCCCTGGGAACTTACATGGTTCTGTACTGAATGCCTCTTCTAGAGTGATAGGTTTTGCATCCAATGTAGAGAATAACTAAGACTCCAAGCGTCAGCAGAATGCCACCTACAAAACTGCCCACATCAAATCTGGAGGTTTTGGCTATGACAGCCTTAGATTTTGATGTGCCTGAAAAAAAGATAACAAAAGGCACTTTTTACAGAGCTTGCAAAACTGTGTTTTGTGGGACTTGTTTATATTGTGCCCACCCCACTGACATATCATCTAAAGACCCAGTCAGGCAACTTTAACTTACATCAACTGGCAGGACACCAGCCAAGCACACGGAAACCTAGAACTCCATTTTTAAGAGCCAGACTCTGGTTACACAGGATTCAACTGCTTGCTGTCTTTGAAAGACTGACTGTAACTTCTTCTCTCCGCTTCCCTCTTTCCCCTTCTATTTTCTCCCCTACTCTCCCCTCTTTCCACATATGCAGCTCCTGCCCTTCTTAGGCCTGTTCTGGTGTTTTTCATACACCCTTCAATGAGCCAATTTAACTCACCAAGCTGGCCTGAAATTAATGCCAGAAATGAAACTAAAGAAGAAAAGGAAGTTGCTTTAAATCAGACGAGCATAGTGCATCAGCCTGCAGAGTGATCCAACAACCACCAAGTCAGCCAGTGTAGTTATGTGATGGGAGTAAAATACTTTTGGTGGCAATGAGCCGTTGGATTGCTTTACTTTGTCTCATGGAACTGTACTCTCACTGTCCAAGTGAGATCAGCTCTGCAGCCCAACACAAATATTGACAGAGATAATGTGACCTGAGGTAAGCTGTAGCAGTTTTGGTGTGAAAACTGTTTTTATCTGCTACAAACTCCCATGAAAAGACCTGGTCTGTGCCTGTCTCTAGTTGTACCTGCTACAGGGAGTGTTATGTGGCTAACGAGAAGTTCTGTTGATGACAGCTTTACCTACCTGACAACACTTTGCTGACATGTCAGTCACCCTAACCTGTTTGGAAGAGTAAGCATGAAGTGGTGCGAACTAACCATAAGGAAATACTGAATGCTACACCTGTTTTTGGGTACTGTGAAACTGTATTTGACAACTTTTGCATGAAGAGAGATTCATTCATAGTCATACCCTATCCTCTGTTAGGGATAAAATTCAGTACACTACTAACAAAACTCAGTCTTTCTATCAAGGTAGCAGGCATATTTTGAGCCACATATCAGCTGTAAAAAAGGAAGTATTAAGAGATGGGTTCAAGTAAGCTGCAGAAGGGAGAGCTGAACAAATGCAGAAGTTGTATTTAAAAGCCAGGCTTTCTCCTAATACTGCTAATCTCCTTGCTGGTAGCTGCTGGTTCAAACCACTTGCATTTTATTTCCTAAATGTATCAGGTCTCTCAGATTAAGTGAAGCCTTATTTAAGTAAGTGGATTGCTCAGAGCAACATCATTGTAGCCAACTCAATTAACAGAACCCCACCTTACTCTCATTTTTCAGCATGCAAATGCCTTCTTTCATAAAATTACCAACTCTAAAAAACTCATGTATAACGTGTGCCAACACATACACAAACCTTTATAAGCATCTTGAAATGTGAACTCACCTGTTACAGAAGTGAAAGAAATCTTGGAAGTGGTCACCACTGTAATATTCGGTTGTGATGATGTGACTGATGGAGCTGTGGTGAATCTTGTTGTCTGGCTGGTTTTGGTGGGTTGAGTCGTCAAGATGACAGACACAGTGGTGTTGATAGGCTGACTGGTGCTGGTTGGGTGAGTAGTATGGGTGGACGTACCTGGGAAATTTTTATTTGTGATATCACACAGAAAAATATACTTAAAAAAATAAACTGCATACTCACTGAATAAAATAGTATTTATCATGGCTAAAGAGAATGGCAGAGTAACAATGAAAATGCCACTGCATGGCTATCCAGGCTTGCATACAGACTCTTCCCCTATGCATTTCATTTGGAAAGACCTAACTTCAGATTTCTAAAGCTCAAGGTCAAGAGTGGTTCAAAGGAAAAGTAGTAAAGAAAATCTGGATAATATTTAATAACTTTTAGAAGAAGGGTCCTATAACACTCTCCAATTCCATAGAATCATGCCAAACTTACAGTATTTTAAAATGTGATGAAATCCTGGATCAAGATTAGCTTTCCATTTGAAGCAAACAACCTTCCAGAAAAGTAAGCTTTTCTGACAAGAAGGAATTCCGTGGGAAAATGCCCTCCCTCCCACCTCTGTTTATTAATGATTTAATCTTTAATTTGCTTCTGAATGAAACACTGACGTTAATAAGGCTGCATGTATATTAAACTTACCAGAAAGAATTCTGTATGTATGTTAAGCTTAAGGTTCAAAAAGTTTTCCACATGTGATAAAAGTTCAACTACAGTAAATCTGCTGGCTGGTATTTACTTAGTAGTGAGCTTTCTTTCAAGGTTAAAGCAAAGACTGGAATGTTGTTTCACAAGTTCAAGTGACACCTAATGTCTTTTAAATTTTACTTTGCTTTACTTAACACTTCCCCTTCCCTCCTCAGAAAGCAATAATGAATTGTTCAGAATGCCATGAAGCAAAATTCAATAATAATAGAGATTGATATTTATAGCAAAATCTTTAGAACCTCAGTAGAAGGCGACCAGCTAGAATGATTTTAAGAATAATTACCTATTTTTCTAAGAAGGAACAAACAAGAAACATAAAGACTGTTATGCAACTAGTATTTCTCTAAGAAGACAGTATGAGGCTTTTATGTATGAAGGTATTTTAGGAAGAAGCTCTCTTTGCAGCTGTCTTAGAATAGTTAGGGTTGGAAAGGACCTTAAGATTGCCTAGTTCCAACCCCCTGCCATGGGCAGGGACACCTCACACTAAACCATGTCACCCAAGGCTCTGTCCAACCTGGCCTTGAACACCGTCAGGGATGGAGCGTTCACAACTTCCTTGGGCAACCTATTCCAGTGCCTCACCACCTTCACAAGAAAGAACTTCCTCCTTATATCCAATCTATAAACTTGCCCTGTTCAAGTTTGAACCTGTCATCCCCTGTCCTATCACCACAGCCCCTAATGAAGAGTCCCTCCCCAGCATCCTTGTAGCCCCCGTTCAGATACTGGAAGGCTGCTATGAGGGCTCCACGCAGCCTTCTCTTCTCCAGCCTGAACAGCCCCGAATTTCTCAGCCTGTCTTTATACAGGAGGTGCTCCAGTCCCCTGATCATCCTCATGGCCCTTCTCTGGACTTGTTCCAACAGTTCCATGTCCTTTTTATGTTGAGGACACCAGAACTGCACACAATACTCCAGGTGAGGTCTCACGAGAGCAGAGTAGAGGGGCAGGATCACCTCCTTCGACCTGCTGGTCACGCTCCTTTTGATGCAGCCCAGGACACGGTTGGCAGAAAGTGGCAAGTGCACACTGCAGCTCATGTTAAGTTTCTCATCAACCATGATAAGTTTCTCTTCTTCTGTATTATTTCTATAACCTAACACAAACTGGATTAATTTTCAATGCCACAAAAGCTTTTCATGATGGATATTCAAATGTTTAATTATACCCATGTTTTCTTCAAACTTTCTAAAACAACTAACAATAGGTAGTTTCATCTCAATACCATTGCACACTTAATAAATTTCTGCTTTTTTATGCAGTATCTAAAATTCTTCTCTATCGAACAATCTTCCTTTAAGCGCTGTTTAAAACATGTGAACTTACACACAGAATGGTGTCTTTGCTAAGACTTATGTATATCTTCTTACAATACAGATGTGAACATCAAAAACATAAAACCCAAACAATATGACAGTGTAAGCATTCAGAAAGGAAATGATCTACACAACATTTTTGACACATTTAATGTTAAAACTACTTAAGCAGCCCAATTCAGTCCCATAGGAAATGTTTTTTACTTTCCTGTTCTTTGATGTTATAATTGTATTGTGCCATAACCCTGGGAAACGCTTTGAAATGAGCATTCATTGCGATGGAACAGTTGGAGTACTATACTCATGTGCTTACCTTGTCACAATTAGGAAATTCAGTTCCTCTATGAAGCATGTGTAAAATACATCAGATAAAATTCAGGGCACATTTTAACACTTGACAGGTAAACTCCCCAAAGGCACAATGATCTATAAATATCAAATGGTTCTTCATTGTAGGAAATAAGCAAAGAAATGTCTATGTGGAAACCATCTACAGTTATATGACATGAAACCAGACCTGGTTACTGCATCCTTAATAGAAAGGATACCAAAAAAAAAAAAAAGGTAACTCTGAAAGCAAGTGTCAACCAGTCAGTTTTCTGTGGGTTTTTCTTATTGTTGTTGTTTCTTTCTTTAAGCCATAATTTCTGAGTGTCAAACTGGCTCCTGTTTCTGAGCAATATAATGGTTAATTGTTCCATATGTAACATTATCAAATGATGTTACACAAAGATGGTGTTTATTTAACAAACATTAAATTACCCTACATAAAACCTGAGTCAGCAAAAACAATATCCAAGCAGCTGTCATGAGGAATTTCAGCAAATCTGTGTGTTACCTTTTGCCTCTCCTACTAGTAATTTTTCTTACTTTACCAAGATTACAGCACTTGCTGATGTAACATAAAGAGCAAAATCTGGTTAATCCCTTTCAGACTTATCTTTCATGATGTATTTAGCATCAGTCATTTCGAAACATCAGTGGGAGGCTCACTGAGGCAGCTGGAGAATTTGGGAAGCAAACATGAACTGGGCACCAATCTGTTCTTCTGTGTATTTGAAAGATATTTTACCAACAGAGTTAAGATGAAGAACATTTTCTAGCAACATCTGTCCTTTTATCTTTTATTTTCCTAATTATTTTTTACCCAAAAGACAGCTGGGCTTCACAGAACTTCACTCTAATCAAACCCAGACTGCCTGAGTGAATTTTATTATTTAAAAAGCAGACATGCCAGTCATGTAGTTAAGGTTTATGATGCTTTATTTTAAAAGAAATAAGTATTTTACTTTGTATGCTGTCTTTATTAGACATGCTATATCCATCAAATTATATATGTAGTATAAAGATAAGATTTCTTAGCAGCATGCACTATTCCCTTGGTGTTCTAACTCAGTAAGACCAAACACTACTCAAATTGTATAAGCACGGTGCTGACACAGAAAGTACTTACTACTGAATGCTCTTCCTAAAACAAATAAATACTCTCTTTTGCATGGGGAATAACTGGAAGAGACTTTTGCTTCTGCCATGAAAAGCTTCCCCCCCAAAAAAAAACTAAAAGAAAAAAAGAGTTTAAGAAAATTAAGTACACATATCCTGCAGTCTTTATTCTGAAGAGGTCAAGACAGATAATCAAACTGGATGAACACTGGATGAACTGGATGTTCTAAAATCTATGAAGTTTCTAACAAAGTAAATAAAAAAAAAAGTTTATGAATCATAAACCCTGTGAAGAAAGGCACAGCTGTCTGTTAGGCTGTACTGTGCTTAAAAAGGCTCTGGCCTCTTTTTACTGTTATTATCCAAACACAGCAAAGCTCAGACCTCTGCAAGAAACCCATAATCAGTGCTGGAGCAGAGGGTGGAAGGGTTGGAACACAGGGTGGATGAAACACCTGTGTTAACAATGACTTTACTCGTTTGGAAGGCCCTAAGGCAAGAAGGGGATTATAAAATTCTCTCCACTATTCAAGTTAGACATGCTTAAACTGGTACATTGCAGGCAATGGAATGAGACACCACACTACTTCCTTGCTATCAAATGGAAGGTCTTTGCATCTTTGCAGAGATTCCTCCTCCCTTCCCTCCCCCCGGGTATTTTATTCTTAAATGAGTAACAAGCAACTTCTGAGTGTGGTAGCTCAGAGGTTATCCTCTGCAGACTAGAGAGACACAAAGTGAGAGTTGTACTGGAAATGGCATGACATAGCTGGGACCTCATGATCAGCATAGAGCTCCACAAACACACAAAGAATCCTAGGGTAGGCACAATATTTCTGCCCTGCTTCCACATGGCTCTTAGCACAAAAGGGATCCAGTTAATGCATGGAAATAGCTTCTCTTCCCTCAGATACAACCTTTGATCTGTGCATCACGGACTGAACAACTGCATGACGTTAATTCTTATCTGATCTTTACTGATGTGGTGAAATATGCCTGTGGAAGTTTGCCCAGATGAATTTTTTTTTTTTATTTCTTTTTAAAATAATCTCATATTGACATATCCAACAGTTGGAGCACTGCATATACAAATGGATGAAGTGTTCGTGTCACAGGTTAAATATCTGCTTTCACGCTTCCTACAAAGATGTGTTTTGTAAACACATTACTTACGTGGGAGCATCACAGCTACAACACTGCTGCCTTGGGAAATCATGCTCACCTACAGTTCTTTTGCCAAGTTGTGAAGGAAGAGGGCAGTCGTAGAACAATGGGAAAAGTACCCATGACAGATTGTCCTAGATCTGCTGCTTGTGTCTCACTTAACTCCAGTGTTTGGTGTTATGAGCTCTATAAGGACTACTCTTTATAAGGACTATTTTCTATGGTATAAGGTGCCATTAGTCTTACCTAAAAGGAAACGGACTCTTACTCTTGAAACTCAAGAGTAAGGACTTCATTATACCCTAAATCTCTTCAGTGTCAAATAACATTAAAGAGATACACACTGTTTGCACAATAACTGATGCATGAAAATGGAAGAAATTTACTTAGAGTGAAAAAATTAACATAAAATTGCAAAAAAGAATTGAAAGTTAATTTTGATAACTGTTTTTCAATGGCACCAGAAACATCATTGCTCCTACTGGAGAAGCATGTTATCTAAACATGAAAAACAGTATAGCTTAATTTCAGAGTTGTTTTACAGGTTGTCTCTCAGCCCTAAAATGATAATGCCTCTCTCAAATACCCACTTTTGTTGGGTATTTCATTCAAATTTGGCGTTATCTGGGGTATACTTGCAGCTAGCTTCTAGGTTCATAGTAACACACAGATGAACACACACATACCTACTGTAGATGTTGTTGTTGATTTTGTAGATGATGCAACAGTGAGATTGGAGGGCAAACTACTACTGCCTTCAAGGAAAACAAAACAAGAAAAGAAATATTATTAATTTTCATTTTAATGTACCCACAACACAATAGTCGGGCTATCTCTGTTTGAAGGCTACAGGTGTGAGCAGAGCAGAAAGCATTCCATCCCAAACCAGATGGGTTTACTCCTTTGCAAAATGCTTCCAGATCTCAGCGCAGCAAGAAAATTGTTACAGTGTATGTGCAGCAGTGCCCAAATCTGAATTCTTTACATCCCCTCTTTTTTCTCTCATCCATGTCTACACCATGTCCTATTCCAGTTGCTGTTACCAGCCATACTGTCACTGACATTCTTGACCTACATAAGCACTGTAGGGTTTTTTTCCCCCTAGCTTTTATTCCCCTATTTCAGTTCTGCTTCCTGTCCCTCAATCTTTTTTTTTTATTTTCACTTTTCCCCATCTCTGCTACAAACTGGTCTCATGCTGGCACAGAGTAGTCAGGGAGGGAAAGACCAATGCCCTGGGAAGCATCTTTCAGTAAGATTAAGCTCTTTCCACACAAAGACGGTCTTAAGAATGTACCTGTTTCCAAAAACTTAAAATATAAACCATGGTTCAGTCTTAATGGTTTTGTCCTTCCTTCCTTTCTTTCACTTCTACTTTACCAGTTTTCTTTTCAGCAACTCATGCTACTTCTAGGTTCTCAGGCACCCTCTCACTTCTGTCCTCATTGCTGCACTGATCTTCCAAGTTTCTTACAGATTAATGGTCTCTTCCTCCAGGCAAAGAGCTACTGAGCTTTCTGGTAACTCCCATTCGTGGGAGTACCACTGTCCATACTTCCCTCCCTTCATTCTGCACTGTTGTCTATGCCCATTCTGTGATTATTCTTTTCTCTGAAGTGAATGATCTTTTACAGCATCATCCCACACTGCTAGTGCTATCTGCCTTGCAGCAGCTCTACTGCTTTCCGGCATAGCTGGAAAATAAAACGCATGACCTCAGAGACGATGAGAACAGCAACACAGCTACCAAAATCAAGAAGCCTATTTCCTTTTAACAGACGTGCTGTTCTTACCACTGGAGAAGTCTAGTCTAAACCAGCTCTGGCAACCCTCTTTGCAATTGCATATATGTTTTGAACAAGCTCAGGTGTAAAAACAAATGCAACAAATTTTCATCTTTATATCACCTACCAAAAAGAGGAGGGAGGAAATTACAGAGGGAATCACTTTGCATTTTCATTGACATAACCCACTGTTGTGGTTTAAGCACAGCCAGTAATTCAGTATCAAGCAGCCGTTTGCTCACTCCCCCCTTCCTTCCCCCACTCCCGGAGGGATGGGGAGGAGAATCAAAAGAATGTAACTCCCCCGGGTTGAGATAAGAAGAGTCCAGTAACTAAGGTATAACACAAATCACTGCTGCTACCACCAATAATAATGAGGTAATAACGAGGGAAGAGAATACAACGGCTCACCACCAGCCAACCTATTCCCAGCCTGACACGAGCAGTGATCTCGCCCTTCTGGGTAACTGCCCCCAGTTTATATACTGGGCATGACATGCTGTGGTACACAATACCTCTTTGGTCAGTTTGGGTCAGGTGTCCTGTCTCTGCTTCCTCTCAGCTTCCCCTCCTCCCTGGCAGAGCATGAGGCTCAGAAAGTCCTTGGTCAGACTAAACATTACTGAGCAGTAACTAAAAACATCGGTGTTACCAGTGCTGTTCCCAGGCTGAAAGTCAAAAACACAGCACTGCACCAGCTACTAAGAAGGACAAAAAATGACTGCTACTGCTGAATCCAGGACACCCACCATTGTGTACTGCACACACAACCCTTGGATACATACTGACATAGCTGGAATATTAAGCTGCAGATTTAAACTGCCTTTGAGAAACAGTCTGTGATTGTACAATTACAAATACATTTTTTTCTTGGATGTGCTGACTTTTATAACAACGTAAGCCATGGATATACCTGCGGCTAAACCTTTCCCATACTGGCCCACTACTGTAACCAGAACACAGCTTTGGGTCTCCCCCACGTTAAGAGTGCTTACTTCTGCAATCCTGGGAAAACAACTGGATGTGGACTGCATGCTTATACAGATGAAAAGAAGCCTGCGATTTAGGTGTGGAGTTTGGGAGTCAGCAATGAAATCAACTCATGACTGAGTGAGTCAATGAGCAGAGTACTGGCTATATATTCCACTTGATGGCCAACAGCAAGTGATATGAGTGAAGGAGTACAGGGCAAAAATGTCTCAAGGAATATGCCTTTTGCATGGTACATGCTTAAAGGTGTACAGCTTAATGCTGTCAAAGTGAGACTACACTATGAAATAAATGTGTGCTTTAGCAATGAGTTCAAGCACAGTGGACCTAGAATTCATTCTGACATTAAAAATAAAATGAAAGAATGCCTTGTCTTTTTCTCAAGAGCACTCAATTCCAGCCTAGCAGACTTCTTGAGCTGGTGGTTGTCTTTTTAACTGTAAATTGGTCTCTCTAGTTCTAGAAATCAAATTTTCCCACTTCTCCTTTCTCTGTTGCTCTGGGGTACCTAAGTATATGAGGATTAAGTTGTGTTCTGCTATTCTTAAATATCTTTAGTTGTCCTGGAATAGATGTGGCAATTAGAGTACCTCCCTCCTACCCTGCAGCTGTTTACAATTCAATAAAATGAAATAAAGGGAAAACTATTACAGGGCAGTTTAAGGTATACAAAATACATACTGTTTTTCTTGATGCTACTGAGGAACACCAACAGAAATGCATATTACCTTTCAACTTAGGGTCTGGAATCGTTGTGAAGGGTGTAGTACTGCTGGTATTCATCATCTCTTCACTTCCTACATAAAACCCAAGAAAAATAAGATATTTTTAGGTGCTTTATTAATAAGAAGTGGGGGGAGAGGGGAGGAAGTTTGTACAGCATCTGTCAACTGCTTTGGGCATAGAAGTGACTAAACTATTATGGACAGGAGTTAGGTATAATGATGATGTAAAAGCATGGTACCACTACAGCCTGCTCTTAGCACATTAAAAATGACACCTGCACTACTCAACCATCAAATGAACTGGAAACTCCTTCCCATCCTCAGTTTTATCTTCCCCATCATCGCCATCCCAAATTCTCTTCCTTGAGATGAAAGGAGACTGAAGAGGCAGAAAATCAGGCCTTCCTTTAGTAATAACATGACTCACATTACCTACAGTAGAAGAGAAAGAACTTCCCATGTAAATCGCTTCCTATAAAACCTGCAAGGCCTTTGCAGGCAGACGGGCACTTGCTCTGCCCCTACATGGGCAGCATGGTAAAACAGTTAAGCTCCATTCAGAAGTTACATTGCTTAGTTTAGGGCTAACAGCATGCTAATGTGTCCATAGAGCATTTGACAGGTGGGAAGTGGGATAGAGAAGGATCACATCTCCAGTGAAGTATCATCATACCCTAAAAGGTTCCTCTGTCCTTAGGCCTGGTCTACAGACAAGTGGTAAAATTTAGAAACGACACAAAAAGAAAAGTCTGGCACTCACATGCATGCAAGAGGATCACTTGTGTGGATTCTGCCTTTGCTAAGCAGCGTTCAGTTTTGATCACTTACAACAATATTCTGCTAAAGGCAAGCAAATAACCTGAACTAAGTATCACAGCAATAGGGCATTTTCTTAGTGGCTCCAAAACCTTAGTTAAGATCTCAGAAATGTAAAATTTGCAAATACAAATGGCAAACCACTCGTCGTATCTTACCCCTGTAATATGAAGACTGGGGGCAGCGCTGCAAGATATGTCAGACTTTTTAATTAGGGATCTTAGGCAAAATAAGCAAACAAAAAAAAAAAAAGAAAAAAAGGAGTTTGGGACATAGGTAAACTAAGCTTCCCAACGAAGGACCCAATCCTGCAGAGGAAGTCACCCCACATTAAACAATGATCTGAGGAAGCTAAGCCAACAGAACACTACCCCCCCCCCCCCCAACAACAGCACACAACGGGTTTTTTTGCTGCCTCAACCAGCAGCATGTGCTCCCTGCATGATTAGATGACAGACAGAAGCAAGAACTAGAGGTAGAAGAGAAGACAGGACTGTATTAGTCCTAGTTCAGATCAGCTTGGATTGCACACCTTAAAAGACACCAGGGACCTTATCCAGCTTAAAAGATACTTTTTTTTTTTCCTCCTCAAAAAAACCCTGAACACTGACAGGTTTCTTAATTTGGATCACTAGCAGCTGCTCCAAAATACAAGCACATACTAACATGGGATACTGCAAAAGAATATGCCACACTGCAATACATGGCACTGAATAAGACAAGTGAGAAAATCTTTATATGACACTATTCCCAAACCGCTGTCTATCCTCAGACTGTGGTTTTGGGTTTGAAGCAGTGTGTATTACTGCAGGGACAGTAGGAGACTTCATCCAGAGAGGCAGGAAGAACTCCTGGGTTAAGGCAAAAGGAAAAGCAGCATAAGCTTTTACACAGCAATGGCTCTGACAAGAGCCAGAGACTCATTCGAGACCACAGACTACACAGGGCACCTGGCCCAAAGCAAAACAGTGTGGGTTTCTGGCCTTCTCCAGGGAGCAGAAGTGCCAAGGCCAGAATTCTGCACTGACCGAGGTGTACACATACAGGTGTGAGTTTTGATTCTACAAACCCTGATAGAGAAACTCCATGCTGATGCTTGTTTCCCCTGTGATGCAGGGAAAAGAGGAAGGCGAAGAGAAACGAAGGATCTCCCTGTTAATTTTTCATGCTGAAACAGAACCGAACCAAGGAAATACCCAAAGTAAAACAGCACACCACATACTGGAAAAGAATAGAGAAAAGGCGTCAACAACATTTTTGTCAAACAACTGTTTTCCTGTGTTTAAGGCTAGGTGCAGCTGCAGCTCAAAATATAACTGCTTGTGGCTGGCTGGGGTGTATCTGAAGGCAAGTGTGCTTCCTGTGAAACACTAAGGCACAGTCTGGTACACCGAGTGCCTGCGGGGCCCCTCGCAGTTTTGTTGCTCTACTGCATGAGACGACAGAAGTTGGAGACAATCCGGATAAGCAAACTTTCAAAAGGGCAAAATTAGGACAGTTTTTTTAGCTTTATAGTTGGAATTCAGCTTCCAGAAGTGGCAGTCAGACAGGAGCTGAAGATCCAACTTTGTGCTAAACACACAGCATCACAGAGTGGTTTGGGTTGGGAGGGACCTTAAAGATCATCCAGTTCCAAACTGCCACAGGCACACCTTCCACTAGACCAGGCTGCTCAAAGCCCTGTCCAACCTGGCCTTGAACACTGCCAGGGAAAAGGCAGCCACAACTTATTTGGGAAACCTGTGCAAGTGTCTCACTATCCTCACAGTAAAGAACTTCCTAATACCCCATCTGAATCTGCCTTCTTTCAGCCACATAGACAGCTGCAGGGTGACAGGTACTTACTGAAAATGAACACAACAAGATTTTAAATGGACTTGATTTCAGCAGATCATGACAAGATCAACACAGTGGATAACACCCATGAACCTTTAATGTTAGGAACCTGCGGTTTCCAGCTCAGGCAAATACAAAATTACTGTTCTCTGTAGATGAAGCCTGGTAGAAGAAGCATCCACAGATGGGTGGTTACTACTCATTCAATTTCCTGCATGCAACAAAGGTCAATTTACCCACTCCTGCAAAGTTATTTAAGATAAACATATTTATCTTGACAAATAAGATTTACAAAGAAATGTATCTGTAAGGACTTGTAAGCTTTATGTCTAGTCTTAACTGAACCTCTTTACAGAAAGACATTAATACATAAACTCATATTTTTGCTAAGCACAACTTTACAGGTTCATTTTGCGGACATTTCAAAAGTCATACATAAAATTTTGCCTTTGTATCTTCTCAAGTTTGATGCATTGCTGGTAAGTAAGAGAGGTTTATGATCAAGTCATTACAGTTTTGTTGGTTTAAAAACCAGAAAGTACAGAGGCACTGAAAATGCACAGTCCATCAGGAAGATCTCAGACTTGGACACCAACCTCAAAGCAATTTAAATGAGTAACAGTTGAGGTGCTGCAATGGCTAAAGCAGAGATGGTAAGAGCAGCAACTTCAGTATAACTCTGGCTTAGAGAGTCTCCACCATCAGCATACTCGTTCTTCTCAGCTGAAATGAATGAAACTCAAATTCTGGAGATTAAAACAGAAACAACCCAGGACCCCAAGTCTCCTGTAACATCTGCCACGCAATTTTAACAAATTTTAAATCAAATCCCTGCTATCTGGAAACTTTATTTCTTTTCCCTTTGACAAAAGAAGGTCTTTTGGTACCTATTTGAAGTGGCATTCTTCACTTACCAAAAAAGTAGGTCATCCTGAGACAAAGGTCAGGCAGGATTACCCCAGCAACTTTACAGACATGCCTTAACATTGTGAAACTATCTCACAGTCTTGCAAAATGAAGTGTAAACACCATTGCGTAGATGCTTAAGGAAAAGCATAAATGAAACTAACCAATCCTCAGCACTGGTCAATTTGAGAATGAAAAAGAACATCTTTTGCTGTTGTTTCTAAAAGAAGTTGAATCTAAGAGAAGTAAGGAGATGCTATGCCTGTTTTCAGGTCTGGAGGCTGCTGCTGCTTTTTTGTACTGCAAGTCGTTTTGTATACAGGTAAGCTCTTGGAAGACGTTGCTAGCTATCTGGTCTGAACAGGAAGAGGATGGGAGCACCTTTCTGCCAGGGAGCATGATTCTTCTTACTCGCTAAGATACCAGGAAGCCAGCTGGACTTTACATAATAGTGGGATGGATTTTTCCTAAACCGTAACATTTTGGTGAGCTTTCTTCTACTGACTTTACCGACATACTGAAATAAACTGTCCAGCAGAGTAAAAGAACAAAATTACATTGAAAAAACCAGCTTGCCCAAAAAAATTAACTGGAGTAAGGAGAAATCTACTGGAAGTAAGAGCAAACTTACTGCCACTTTCACTTTTTGCAAATTGTGGTATTTGATGCGTTTCACACTTTCTCTTGTGTGTTCATTAGTGAATCATAGCTTTTGCTGAGATCAACACAAATCTCAGCAGCTGCTTCTGGAAGTTTCTGATTAAGTGTGCAGAAAAAAAGGATACTTCAATAGACACACTAGACTGAACCTTAAAAGGGCACAACTCTCCATACATTATAAACAGGGTCTATACCAGAAATTCACATATAAAGGAAAGACTATATTTGACCATCAAAAGTTAGATGAGATCATCTCTGCCCCAGCAGACAGCACTAACTGCTCAGTTAAACCAGCACATGCACTCAGGAAGCAGCACGATAGAAGATCAGGCCAATCTTACATGAAATTAAATGACAGTCTACTGTGTGAAATGAAGGCCATAAGATCCAAAAGGCAAAGCAGTAAACAGGATACTGATAAACTTCTTAAAAAACAGTTTGGCTTGGGGTTTTCTTTTTCTTTTTTTTTTTGTTGTTAGGGCAATTATAAATCTGTACATGTCCCTCATTTTACTTTTTTAATATCGATCTATAATTTAGACTAGACAACATATTAACACTGCTGGACTGACTGACAATCCTCAACATTATACATGGCAAGTTAATTATAGTACCTATCTTTTGGCTTATTTGGGAAATTATGGGGCATTTCAGTCTTCTGAAAAGGCAGTTCTAGGAGCTCAGACTTTTCTGTCTCTCATTTTTTTTGAGTGAATGTCGATTGTTATCCCCCGAATCCGGTCTCCTACCACCCGACTTAAAGCACAAGAAAACAGGAGGCTTTGCATTGACTAGAATCTGCCGTTGAAAGAGGCATCGCTGCAAGCGTCCGGCAGAAGCACGACAAAACACACCATCTGCCCCAGCAGCAAAACCACCGCATCCCCGAAGCTGCAAAAAGCCACTGGCCACAGCGACAGCGTGCCTCGGGGAACAGCGACAACACGCAAGGGAAGCATTTCCTCCCAGCCCGGCCTAGGGCACCGCAGCTTCTTCGGCTCTCCAAAGACTCGCTTATCCGGACACCACCACGGGCAGGCCCCGTCACCTGCGGGCTCTGGGGAACATCTCCCGCTCGCCCCGCCTCCGAGCTCATGCTCGCACTCGCAGGGGAGCAAGGAGATGGGAGCCGCGAGCGGGCAGGGTCGGGCGCGTTTGTGAATCCCCCGCTGTGTGCGAACCCCCACACCCCACCCATCCCTCTCTCTGTGCTCTTCAGTTACGGTTTGCACTTCAAACCCATCCCGAGTGCCGAGACTCTCGCTATGGTCCCGGCACGGCCCGGCGCACGGTGCGCTCCCGGCTCTTAAGTGCCGGTGGGAAGAAGGAACCGGCAACCCCCAAGCTTGCTCGCAGCTAGAAACCCGAGCCAAGGGGCACTCGTTGGGGAGCGAGGGCGCACCCGCACTCCCGGCTGCACTGCAAGGCCTGGGTCCGCACGGCTACCAGAGAGAAGCAGCGCTGCCGCCGCCCGCTCGCCCGTCCCGCCGCGGCCGCTACTCACGGGAACCGGGAGCCAGCAGCAGCAGCAGCAGCAGCAGCAGTAGTGCTGCCGTCCGCACTGCGCTGGAAGCGCCGGTGAGGAGCCGCATGGCCACCGAGGATCTGCGGGACCACCGGAACACGCCGGGCGCCACCTGCCCCGGCCGCTACAGCGGAGAGAAGCGGAAGGCTGAGCCGCGCAGTGCCGCCTTCCCAACGCAGGCCGCGACCTCAGCCCGCCCCTCCACGGGGACGTCCCGCCGAGGTCCGCCCCCTTCATCGTCCCGCCGGTTTTACAGCAGGCGGGTCGGCCGCGTGTTGTGGTACCCCAAGGAGAGACCAGGTAGTGCTGGAGGAGGTGCTCGGGCACCGCGAGTGCCAGCGGGCGCAAGGGGAGCAGCGGGAGTGCGGCTTGCAAATAGCGCTCACCTTGTTGGTGTGAGCCGGTCCCTTCTAGCTCGCACAACCCCACGCAACGCTACAGGCTAGGGGAAGAGCTGCTGGAAAGCTGCCCAGAGGAAAAGGAGGTGCTGACTGGCGGCCCCCTAACATGAGCCAGCTTGTGCCCGGGTGTCAACGAAGGCCAACGGCATCCTGGCTTGTATTAGCAACAGCGTAGCCAGCAGGGTCAGGGCAGTGATCATCCTCCTGTACTGGAGCATCGTTGAGGCTGCACCTTCAATCCTGTGTTTGTTTCTGAGTCCCTCACTACGAGAAAGACTTTGAGGTGCTGGAGCATGTCCAAAGAAGAGAAACAAAACTGGTTGTTTGCTTTGTTGATTGCTCCAGAAGGGTCTGGAGCACAAGTCCTGTGAGGAACAGCTGAGAAAGCTTGGGTTGTTTAGTCTGGAGAAAAGAAGGCTCAGGGCTGACCTTACAGCTCTCTACAACTGCCTGAAAGGAGGTTGTAGTGAGGTGGGGTCAGTCTCTTCTCCCAAGTAACAAGTGATAGGACAGGAGGTAACGGCCTCAAGCTGCACCAGGGGTGCTTTAGATTGGATATTAGGAAAATTCTTTTCACTGAAAGGGTGACTGAAACAGGCTGCTCAGCGAAGTATTGAAGTCACCGTCCCTGGAGCTGTTCAAAAACCATGTAGATGAGGCCGTTAGTGACATGGTTTAGTGGTGGACTTTGCAGTCCTGGGATAATCGTTGGACTTGATGATCTTAAAGTTCTTTTCCAACCTAGTTACGGTTCTATGATTCTGTGGTCACAGCCTGTTTAAGTGGTGCCAATTTTCAGACACTCTCTGGTCGGGTTTTATGCTGCTAAATCACCAGAGCTAATGCAGTAGAGGTATTCTGAAATTTCACTATGTGCTTACAAAATTCTGAAACCAACCACAAAGGCAGTAAGAAAAAGTGAAAAGTAACAGCCATGTTCAATTCTTGTGTACGTCTAAGAGAGAGTTGATACTAGAAATTCATCTTTGAAAGGGAATTTATTAATATGTTCTTAAGAGTAAAATCAAACTTGCAGGTTATTTTTAAAAGGAAGGAAAATTACGTACTGCTAAATATTGCTTTCTAATAAATTAGAAAAAAAAACCCACTTGTAACTTGGATAACTGTAAGGGTGATCATCACCAAAAATGCGGTAGAATATTTGCCACATGTTACTACATTTATGTTTGTTGCAGCACAGTGATGTTTCCATGTCAAGTGATGCATCTGAGCCAGCAATAGAAAGTGACTGGCCTGGGAGCACACAGGCAGGCTGTGAAACTACTTGGGTACTGTGTGAAATCTGGTTCCCTTCCTTAATGACAGAATTATACAGGCATTTGCCCTGTAAGTGTCAGCAAGCCAGTGCTAAACTAAAATGTTGAATGAAGATTTTATTTTGTTTGCTTTAAATAATTCTAGCCTACATAGGTCCCATAGTTTTCATTTGGTGAAAATAGCTGTGTGTGTTATACTTCCAGCATTTTCCTGCACCTTTGTTCTGCATTGCTTCCTGTGTGGTTGTCATGACTGAGGTACCTGAAGACTAACATGCATTTTTTTCCTGTGAATTTTTTGAGATCATCTTCCAAAGCTTTTCTTTATGAGCACAGTAGGAGTAGTATCTGCAGCTAGCTTAACTGCAGTAAAGCTTAGAAATACTAGTAACCCATATGCAGCTAAGTATAAAAGACCTCTGATTACTGAGGCAAAGCTCATAGAATAGGGACTATAGTGATAGGACAAGGGGTAAAGGGTTAAAACTTTGGAAGTTTAGATTGGATATAAGGAGGAAGTTCTTTACTGTAAAGGTGGTGAGGCACTGGAATGGGTTGCCTGGGGAAGTTGTGAATGCTTTATCCCTGGCGGTGTTCAAGGCCAGGTTGGACAGAGCCTTCGGTGACATGGTTTAGTGTGAGGTGTCCCTGCCCATGGCAGGGGGGTTGGAACTAGATGATCTTAAGGTCCTTTCCAACCCTAACTATTATATGATTCTAATAATTTTTATTAAACTAATGTATATGTAGAAGATAAAGATACGAATGTTCTTGCAGAACTCCAGTGAATGTCAGGCTTAGAACACACTGGAAGCAATTTTAATTTGGAGCAGCCTAATTGACATTGCCCAACTTGTATCTGCTGGAAAAGAGTAGCTAAGATACATGGAACAAAGAGAAGTCATAGGCTTGTGGGACATAGCGACATAACTACAGCAGAAGTGGTAAGTTAGCAGGAACTTGGCTGTGTTGCAAGGCTCTTTCCTGTGTAAAGGCAGAGGTGTTGGAAGGTCTTGTGTTGATTGCTTTGGCATGATCTTGTTTGATCTGGTATTTATTGTTCTGTGGAAAGCAAATTTCTGACAGTGTGTCTGGAGGGGGCTGGAAGTTGTTTATATGCCAAGAAGGAAGCATTCTGAGAAAATGTCAAGGAAGTTATCGTCTCCTTTTGGTACATGGCATACTGAATGATTTCTCATATGGATTCCCACATGAAAATAGGATTGGTGAGGTGGAAATTCTGTCCTAATTTTAGGCACAATATCCAGTGTCAGCAGCAAGAATGGGGCTACCCTACAGTGCAGATGAGCTGGGTGCTGAGAGTGGCCACAGGAGGTCACCAACCAAGGCACAGCCCCACAGGATGTGAGCAGGGCAGTGAGAGTGGCAGGGTCCACTGGCAGGCTTGGCCAGGTCAAGGTGATGAGCCTCATCCAGGGAGTCCATCTGGGAGGGAACAGCAGGAGATGGCTCACAAACAAGGTTATAGTATAGATCCAGTGTCAGTCCAGGGGACAGGGTATCAGACAGGATTGTCAGTCTGGAGCCCCTCCAGGAAAAGCAGTCACTAAATCAGGGCAGCTGAGGACAGGCACAGCTATGATGCAGCTCAGGCAGACTTGAGGCTCAGGCCAGAGCTGAAGCAGCACTCCTGGATGAATGAGCAGAGGGCATGTGGATAGAGGTTGGTCAAGGCTTATTATTACCTTGTAAGGCTTACTAGTGCACTCGTGGCCCTGACATTCAGGCAGTTCACTCAGAGGTACAATCTGACCTCTTAGAGGAATGTCTTTGATTGGCAAAGGCTGTCCTTTATCAGGTAGGTGTAGGTGAGGTAGGTTTATAACTTCTAGGACATTCACACAAGTATTAAAGTCCCACAGTGGAATTGTCAAAATCCATGGGTTTTAAACAGAAGCATCTCAGATCCATTTTGTCCATGAGATGTTGAAATGTCTTTGTGGAGATGGTGCAGGTGAAACTAAACAACAGCTCCAAAGCAGGGTTAACCCACAAAGATAATGATCAATAAAGAAAGAGAAACACCCAGTTGGAACAAGAACTCTTTATTCAACAGCTCCAGGGCAGGGTTAACTCACAAGGACTATCAATAACAACCAGAAACACTCAGCTGGAACAAGGAAAACTTTTTTTCATGTCTGAAACCTGATCCTCAGGAAAGACCTACAAAGGCAAACATAGGAACCAGAAGTGCCAATTCCACTCAGTGTTGAAAGCTGTGGAGTTGCTATTTGTTCAGTAAAAGTTTTATGACCACTAGTTTTCCATACATCTCATCAACTATTAACGCATTGTTGTTCACTTCTGTAGGCTGTCATTTTTCCTAGTTGACATACTTGATCAGCAGACTTCCTGTGTTTGAATACTAATTTAGGTTACACCCAGAACAGTCATTCCCAACATGTACTTACCTTGATGTCTGCTGTTTGTGCTTGACTATAAAGACTCTACGGTTTCTGGTTTCCAGTGAAAGTGCACAGATGAGTGATAATTGGGAGTTTAAGATGATCAGCAAGATGGCTAGCTTCTCTCTGTTGTGCTGTGACAGAAAAAAAACCCTTGTAAACGAGTTTTCATTCCCCACCCCAAAATGTCTTATTCCAAATATAACAGGTAACACCTCACTTTACAAACCGTGTCATTTTTATAGTCTTAGTCATCAGAGTTAGAGCAACACTGCCAGCTAACAGCAAAGTATTTCTAATCAGGAAAAGACTGGAACATGCAATGTGTTTTGCTGGGTAGCAAAGGATAGCTTTAAGCTTCAGGCTTCTTGGCAATGCAGAGTTAACACTTCAGCTCTGTAGAAGGAGTGGTAAGAACCAAGGTTGATCACACTGGCAGTCTCCTTAGGGTTTTTTTTTATGCATACATTTTAAACAGTAAGGAATTAAGTTCTAAATTACATTGATACTGCCAGGATTAGCCATATTTTGTTAAGCAGCAGTGCCCACATGAAGAATTGTCACCCTATGAATGAATACTGTGTTTCCTTGAGCTCAGTGTTGTCCCAGAAGTGAACAACTGTAATGAAAATCAACCATAATTATAGTGTTTCAGTCAGAAAGATCTGTATGAGTGGTTGTTTGAAAAGCCTGTAACTCTTTCTGTTCCCGGACAGCTTTAAATTTTCCAATCCATTCACCAATTTTTTTTATCACTGTATGGTACTGGTGTTAAGTGTGAACCTCATGATGTCTTTTCTGTTCTGCAAACTCTATAATGCTATCTCCTATAGCAAATTCTGTACTAAAACTGAATAGTGTTGTATTTCTGTGGGTGCTGTGCCTGGCAGATAATTTTGCTTGCATGTCTTGAGGCATGCATCCTTTTAGCCAAGAATCTGGTAAAGCATGGAGCCTTGTATGGAGTCTGGAGTATGAATGGCCAGGAATGTGTGAACCATACCTGCCAAGTCCTTAGCCACTTCTTTCTGTTGTCTTGTACTCTAATGAGTAAGAAACTGAGTGTGACAACCAGCTGCC